GGAGTGAAAATGATGTAAAATGAGTGCCCAAGCTAAACCTGAAAGTTCAGTACTAATTGCTGCCGTGGACTGCTAAAGAATTGCTCAGCCAAATTCTGTGTGCAGATGGTGGTGTACTCTTTAGTTTGATGTTTCATGTCTCAGATTAGAAAACTAGGGGTGAAGGAGAAGACTGAAGGAGGACATTGCACTTGGATGGTGGAGGGCAGGATCCCAGCCTCACAGGGCTGGCTTGGCACTCTCTGGACGTTCATCCCTGCTGGTGCACGGGGAGATCCGGATCGAAATACGGACAGATATCTGTCCCACTGGGATAGGGATATAGACAGTGTTGGAGGATTCTCCATGCTTGCATTCACCCACTGACCCTAGGAAGCAAAGAGTGCTAGCTGCCAAAGTTCTGAATACTGCTGCATACTGCTGTCGGACAATAACTGTGATTCTGGTAGGGTCAATTCCGGACCTGGAGTGCTATCTGCATGGAGTTTGTATGTTCTCCCTGTGTGCGTTTGGGTTTCCTTCAGGCACTCCAGCTTCCTCCCACAGTCCAAAGACATGCTGGATTCATTGGATTCTAGGAACTCTGGCTTTCACCCTTCACCCCCTATTTCCATAAAGTAATGTCCCTGTTCCCAGATCGCCCCCATGCTGCTCTCCTGTCCCTGCACTCTGGCGGTCCAGGAAGTCGGTGACTGAGACTGAAAAGGGGACAGTCGGGTTGAATTAGAACGCAAGAGGGGACTAACTTCCTGCCTCCCTTCTGTGCGTCCTCAGGAGTTTGATGCCCTTGGCCGACAGGTGCCCATTCCTGCGGGCATCTATAACCTGGATGACCTGAAGGCCTTCGGGCGCAGGAAGGGCTGGTGCCCCTACTACCTGGCCCGATACTCGGTGAGTGCCCTCTGCAGGGCTCTCGATTCCTGGTGCGTGCCGGCTCTCTGGTGATAATGACGTTGCTTTCCTTGAACTTCAAATGCAGGTTCAATTGAAATTGAAGTTCAAACCATTTTAAATACTTGTTTTTCCCCTATTTCCTTGTCCGTGTCCTCTCCTTTTTTTCCCCTTTAATTAATGTTAAATTGTTACAGTGGCATGAGTGGCGCTTTGAATCCTTGAGAACAATCAGGCTATTTCCCCGTTTCCACCTGTTAGTAGAATTTTCCTGGGATTTCTGGGGCTTGATCTCATTTGCACAACAGATCACACCTCCAGAAGTGTGCTGTTCCCAATACTGCAGGCTTCTGTAAGATGAACTGCTTATCTAGGGTAAAACTCACGGTGTCAGGTAGAAGGGACAATCCTGCAACTTATTCTAAACTATTCATTTTTTTTACTTAGTCCTTGTTGACCTTTTACTGTGCCTCCTCACACCCCCACCCACGGTCTGCCTCCCCGTCCTGCGCTGCAGATTCTCCATGCCAACATCGTGGTGTACAGTTATCACTACCTGCTGGACCCAAAGATTGCCGACCTGGTGTCCAAAGAGCTGGCCAAGAAGTCCGTTGTGGTCTTCGATGAGGCGCACAACATCGGTGAGGCACGGGGTTTGCCCTTCAACTGCTTCTGTACAGAAAGGGCTGGGAAAGGGTTTATCTTTAGTTATCCATGTGTTTGACTGCTGCTTTTAGCCATAGTGACTCCCGGTTGCCGGTTCATTGCAGATGTACTTTGGTAGTTATGTACATGGTGGGGTTTTGCTGGGGGGAGTCTGGGTCAAGAGCCTTACTCCTGGGTACAGCAATGGCGAACCTGCCTGGAATGTGAGCTCGTAATCCCTTTGGTCAGAAGCTCAGAGCCTAAAGGTCCAGGTTGAAGCTGAATGTGGGTTTTCTAATTGTGACATGCATCTTTTTAAAGGCTAACGCATGTTGGTCTAAAAATGCATGCTGTGAATAGTGCATACCTGGCACTGCTGTGTGTACGGCAGCGAGCAACTCCGAAATACAGGGTAACCTCAAGGTGAGGGTGGCATGGTGGCACAGCGCTGGATTCAATCCCTGGGGTGCTCCCTCCGTAGAGTCCAGGTAGTTAATTGGCTTCTGGGGAAACTGGCGCTGGTGTGAGTGTGTGTCTGCGTCAGTGTGTGCTTTGCAACAGACTGGTGTGCAGGGTGTACCCTGGCGTGCGACCCATTGCTTGCCAAAATACAGCCTCCAGCTCCCCCATGACACTGTACTGGATAAAGCGGACAGAAAACGAGTGGTAGAGCTGCACCAGTAAGCTGCTGTCGCACAGCCAGGCCAGTTCCCACCGTGGGCACCCAGCCCAGCGCGCCTCGTGCCCTGCGCCGAGGCGTTGTCACTGACCTCGCGCCCTGCGGCTCTCTCCCAGACAACGTGTGCATCGACTCCATGAGCGTGAACATCAACCGGAGAATTCTGGACCGCAGCCAGGCCAACGTGGAGACGCTGCAGAGCACCATTCACAAGTGAGAGCCTAGTGCGCGCAGCCCTGCTGCCGGAAGGTTAATGGTGTAGCTTACGGCTGCTACATGAAAAAAGTCATTCTTTGCTGTTGCTAAACTTTTGTTTATGTGCAGTTGCAGGCCATAAATATCTGCAACCCAGATCTCCAGCATTGGTTTTTTAAAATTCCTTTTTAACTACAAGTAATACATTACTTGTAAACTATGCCTTTTTTGAAAATGTTATCCATATTTGTTTTGGCAGTTTTGTAAGCTTTGTTATGAATAAATCATTTGAAGACAAGGGGTGTGAATGTTTCACACGTCCTTAGACATTTGCTGGAATGGAGCAACGCAGCAGGAGACTGATTTCTACAGAAGTGTCAAAACTAGATGCTTCTTGATCCCTGCATGCTTTTTCAGGATAAAGGAGACCGATGCTGCCAAGCTCAAGGAAGAGTACAGGCGATTGGTGGAGGGGCTGAAAGAGGCCAACGTTGCCCGGGAAACAGATGTCTACCTAGCCAATCCTGTGCTGCCTGATGAGATCCTCCAAGGTTAGGCCCCTCCTCTCCCGTAGCCTTCAAGACACGGAATGTCTGATTCAACACGGCACCAACAGGAGGCGCTGTCCCTTTCTTGTTTGCCTTAATATGTTCTTCCATTTTTCAATAGGAGAGGATTGGTGAAAGCTCATCTGTGCACATCCTTAACGAGGCACAGTGTAGATGCAGGAGAGAGGAAAAGTATAGTTACTCTGCTCGTTACGGCTTCTGTTCAGAAAATTACATTTGAGTTTATCTGGTTTTGCAAAAGGCACTGAAGGAAGAGACAGTCATTTCTGTACTGTGTGCTGTGCAAATTGTTTAGCTTTTGTTAGAAACAAAGTTGTAATTAGAAAAAGCTGAATTATTTTTAATGCAGTTTTCAGCCTGCTTCTTATTTGTCCAGGCCAGTATGAGATCACGGTGTGCTATTGAGAGATCCGTTGTGCTGCTCGAGGTCCCGTGATGACATCGCAGTTCAGTAGTGAGGTAACGGGTGGCTCCTTGCTCCTGTCCTTGTTCCTGCCCCCCTCCCCCCCTTGGCAGAGGCCATCCCTGGTAGTATCCGGACGGCCGAGCACTTCGTGGGCTTTCTGAAGCGGTTCCTGGAATACCTCAAGTCCCGCCTGCGCATCCAGCACATGGTGCAGGAGAGCCCCCCGCAGTTCCTGAAGGACATCTTCGACAAGGTCTGCATCGACCGCAAGCCCCTCAGGTGAGACCAAGGCGGCTGGTGCAGGAAGCCATTGGCTCCAGCTGCTGCTGCCCGAGGAGCTCCATCGACTCGCTCAGGGTAGTACATAGAAAAAGTCAGTGACGGGAGGTGTGCACTTGAAGGGGAGCAAGTATAACTCTAAAGCTTTGCTTTGACTGAGCCCTCTCGTCACAAGGCCAGCACTCTTAAGCCTTCACACTCCCAGCCCAGTTCTCTGGACACGGTCTGTGGTCCACCTTGCATATGTAATTGGGTCCCTCGGTGTAGGAACTTCAGAAATGGACTGATCTTGACCTCTTTCATCAATGAGTCTGACTGTGATGTAATAGCCCAACAAACATGGGGGCATTAGCTTTGCAAACAGTCAAGACCTTGGGGAGAGTGTGTAAAAGAGGGAACAAAGTGCTGGATTTCACGTGGTTTTGCCTGAAAATATAGAAAGCCTGATTTTCCAGACAATACATGACTAGTCGATTTCCGACTAAACTAGATACAAATATTCACCATAGGAGCACCCAATGTCCTGGAGAGCACAGAGCTGTGTTGAATAACCTCACTGAGGTCACCAGTCAGTGGCTGGGCCTAGCCCACTGGCGTACTGATGCACCTCCTTCCCCTGGTTCTCTCTTCCCCCCCCTGTGGCTCCTCTTCCCTGCAGGTTCTGTGCAGAGCGCCTGCGCTCTCTGCTGCGGACGCTGGAGATCGCCGACATCGCCGACTTCTCTGCCATCACTCTCATCTCCCACTTCGCCACGCTGGTCAGCACGTACAGCAAAGGTACCTCTCCCTCCTGTCGTGTCCTGTGGAGGTTTGCAGAAGCAGTGTTTTCCCAACCCGGCACGATGCACGTGTCTTGATATTGTGTGCTCCGTAAATTTCCACCTGAAGTGTTTTTTTTGCCATGGAGAAGACTTCACTCCCCAGTCTCTCGAAGACCAGAGGAGCAGACTAGGTGAGTTGAAGTGCTGTGCAGCTCAGGCACTTGGAGATCATCCAGAAGTTGGAGTCGGGAGTCTGACTGCAGCTGTATCCGAGGCATGGGTTGAGAGTATTCATGTGATCTGTTAATGCTCATTGTGTCCATTGTGTCAGGATGGGTTTTTATTAGATGGTTAATTAGACATTAGATGTCCAGAGTGAGTCCATCCAGATGTGCAGAGTGCACAGTTATGTTTGCCAATTGGTTTGGACCAAAACGTGCAGTTTTGTCCTTTACAAGTTTTTTAAGTACAGAACATAAGTGATAAATTGAAGTCCTTTGATAAGCCATCTGTAATAAAGAGAGCCTTCTGTGTGTTGTCTTACCTTCCAGGCTTCACCATCATCATTGAGCCCTTTGAAGACAGAACTCCCACGATTGCCAACCCTGTGCTGCACTTCAGGTAAGAAGGATTTTCCTTCCAAATTAGTTGCATTACTTCTCAGATTATGGAACTCTCTTCTAAACAACATCCAAGCCTCTGCGCCTTTGTCCATTTTTATTTTGACAAGTTTTATGTTTGATAAATAATACATATAAAAGCCGAAAAGGAGGTGGAGGGCACTTATTAATAGTGTCCAACTCTCTCCTTCAGCTGTATGGACTCCTCCATCGCCATCAAGCCCGTGTTTGAGCGCTTCCAGTCCGTCGTTATCACATCTGGGGTAATCTCTCCCGTCTTCCTTCAGTTTTGGGGGGGTCTGCTACTTGTGTTTTAGTCCAGCATTTACTACAACAGCAACTTGGTTCAAATTCCAGAAGGTCAGAAGAGCCTGACTTGAAAAAGGTCACATTGAGGCCGATGTAAATGTGGTAAAGACGGGGAGTCCTTCTCCTTTCCCAGATGCACCTGACTACATAGTTGACATTGCTAAAGCTCTTGCAGTCCTTTGCTTTGCAATTCATTGGCAACAGCAGGACTGCTTCCTCAGTCTAGTTTTGTTCTCCTCACCATGTCCAGTGACCTGTGTTGGAAGAAAAAGACAGGTGTTGTGGGGCGGAGGGTAACTGAAGAGCAGAAGAGAGCTTTGAAAATTGCCCTGTATCCAGTTCCTCACTGACGTCCACTCTCCTTTTGCCCAGACTCTCTCTCCTCTGGACATCTACCCCCGAATCTTGGATTTTCGGCCAGTCACCATGGCTTCCTTCACGATGACACTGGCTCGCACATGCCTGTGCCCCCTGGTGAGTCAAGAATAATTATTCCAAGAATGATCATCGCGCTTCTCAAATCAGCCTGAGACTGTGTTACATATGTAGGAAATTACATGAACATTTCTTGGCCTAGACAACACATTTGTGTAAAATCTGTATAGCTTTGACAGACGATAAGATGCATTCAGGAGCATAAGCAAAACTGAGAAGAAACCATTTGGACAATCTGGTTTAGTAGTTAGAAGTTACTTGACCCAAGGTTGCCTTCTTGCAGTTTTGTTAAAGAAACCAGAATATCGGCCTGTTCCATACTCCCATAATCCTTTGGGTAAACAAGTGTTTCCTGTATTTTGCTGTGCCCTCTGGTTCATGAAGAAATATGAGAGTGGCGGACTGAGTAGATTAATACTAGGCGTGTATCTTTCCCAGATTGTGGGCCGAGGGAATGACCAGGTGGCTATCAGCTCCAAATTTGAGACGCGGGAGGATTTTGGTGAGTCATGGCTTCTTTTTTGCCAAGTCATTGTTAATAATAATTGCTTACACTTATATAGCGCTTTTCTGGACACTCCACTCAAAGTGCTTTACAGGTAATGGGGACTCCCCTCCACCACCAGTGTGCAGCATCCACCTATTGTTACCCACATAGAAGACAAATCTCAAACAAAAAATACACCTTTAAAACTGTTTTATCTGCTGGGTGCAGTGCAAAGAAAATACCCTTAAAAAGGTGAAATGCAAGTAAATATTTTACAACATATTTTTGGTTAAATTAATTTTAGGCGCTCCAACAAAGTAGTGTACATGTTCAGTACATTTTAAAAGAGAAACTACTGACAAATAAGGAGAAATTGAAATCGCGATGAATGGTGCCAAATGCATGAGTGGAGAATCCGATTTTTTTTTCCCCCCAATGAATTGAGTTTTTATACGTCTATATAGTCCGTTTTCTGTGTAATGGGAAATGAAAAGGCGGGCGCACTGTGGTTGCACGCTTGTTGAGAGATGCACCTGTCCGGAACCTCGCGCGCTTGTGTGAAATCGGCCTCTCCCCTCAGCCGTCATCCGGAACTACGGCAACCTGCTGCTGGAGATGTCGGCCATCGTGCCAGACGGCATCGTGGCGTTCTTTACCAGCTACCAGTACATGGAGAACATCGTTGCGTCCTGGTACGAGCAGGTGGGTACCAGGGTCCTGCTGGCGGGACACAGACTCATTTTTATATGTAATAAATAATAAGAAAAACCGGTTGTTTAGCTTCCGGCATTATAGCCTGATCCATGATCCATTATTGCCCGATGATGTGTAATTGTAATTCCAATCTATGTAGACAATGCAGTCTTTGGGGAGGGTTATGTGAGGGTAGATGCAACTCTCTTACTTGTATTGTATACTGAAACCCAAGAGCCACAATGCCAATAATAAGGAAACATGTCCCACACTAAGAAATGGACTCTTGTTATTTGCATTGTGAAATCAGCTCAGCAGTGGAAGTATATCTGTGTTTTGGTGCTACCCGTGCACCTCTGTTGCAACTCCTGTCATGTGTTCGTCATGTCTCCGTCTCGTCCTCCGCCCGGCCGCCGCAGGGGATCCTGGAGAACGTGCAGAGGAACAAGCTGATCTTCATCGAGACTCAGGACGCGGCTGAGACGAGCATGGCGCTGGAGAAGTACCAGGAGGTCAGGAGAGGGGGAGTGGGATTATTTAAACACAGCACTGGGTACAGAGCCCAGTGGTCAGGAGGGAGCAGCTGTTCATGAAGCAACTGGAGCAAGTCGACAGCAGACATTGGGGTGTCAGAGTTATAGAAAATTCATAGAGTATGTCCAAACTAATAGATGCATGTTCTAGGCTATGGTCCAGTGATGGTATAGGAGAAGCAGTTTTCCCGTTTTTGCTTCCTTCCAGTTCTGGGTTAAAGAGAAAAACCTGTTCAGTCTTGGTCTCGGAGACTGTGGCCACAAATGGCCAGCCTGTCCACTGACATTGGATTTATGTGTTGCACGTTTCCTGAGAGGGGCAATTTCATATGTAAAGTGCAAATGCAGTGGACTGAAGGACTGTGGTGTGAAAATGAGCACCTGTCCGAGCTAAAGGCCATCATCCGGTTTTCAGCAGGACTTCTGCAGACGCAAAGCATGGGCTTCTTCCTTGAGCACACTTTTAGGCCCTGTATCATGCACAAGGCCAATCTAGACTAGACAGATCAGATAAGATCACTTTATTGGCCATATACAGTCTCTTGCATTAGGGATTTGTCTTTTTGCAGACCCCAGCTTGCTCTCCATGAGACACACAGACAGGGAGAGAAGCTGGGGGTCAGAGCGCAGGGTCAGCCATTTATACGGCGCCCCTGGAGCAGTTGGGGTTAAAGGCCTTGCTCAGGGGCCCAACGGAGTAGGATATCTCTGCCGGCTGTGGGATTTGAACTGGCAACCTTCCAGCCACAGGCGCAGATCCCTGGCCACAGTGCCACCATTCCGCCCAGACGGTGGCGTGTTTGTTGGCTTTGATGGAGCAGGGGTCTCTGGATGCTCTGTTGCTCTCCTGCTCTCTCCACTGCGGGTCTCCTCACGGGTCTCTCTCTTTGTAGGCGTGTGAAAATGGGCGGGGAGCCATCCTGCTGTCCGTGGCCAGGGGGAAGGTGTCGGAAGGCATTGACTTTGGTGAGCAGAGGGGGCATTAGGGAGTCACTGATGCAGTTCTGCTACCAGTGTTAAAACAGACCACAGGGGAGGAGGAGGAGGAGGAGGCTGTTTTCAAAGTGGGGGCTCAATAAGCGACAATTACTCCAGGTACTGGGGTGCTTCCTCCTTGCAGGGGTGATGGAAGTCCACATTGGCCTGTGACCTGGAAAAACTTAATCTAAGTCAATAGTGGATTTCGGTTCAGACAGCCCTGCACCGCGGCACCTGTGATATGTGTAGTGTTCCTAGGCGCAGGGCAGTGTTACTCCGTTTTCCTGGTTCGGCAAAGAAAGCACTGGAGGCACAGCTCACAGCTCTCGTCTGCTCCTCTCTTCCCCCCCAGTGCATCACTACGGCCGCGCCGTGATCATGTTCGGCGTTCCCTACGTCTACACGCAGAGCCGCATCCTCAAGGTATGGAGGGGCCTCTCGCCTCGTCGCTCCTCGTCCCCGCTCTCTGGTGACCACCGCTGCCCCACTTTCTGGAACACCTTCTCTCCTTCTCTCCTCCGTTAGCCTCTTTCTCTCTCCCCCTAGCCATTGTTTCTTCACTCTCCCCCCCATCATATTGCTTGAGGATTCAGATCACGCGTCAAAGCTCTGATTATACTGGAAACCCTGCCAAGTCGCCCTGGTTGCAAGATGTAAGTGTCACAGCGTACAAGCCCTGCCCTGTTCTAAATGAGCAACCCTGACAGTTCCTCTGGCAGGCCTCCAAGTGCAAATGAGAGCAGATGCACAGCACACCTGAGGGTCAGGCAGGGTTGGCTTGTCCACTGAGCAGGGCCTGATGCAGAAGCTCGTGCATTTGTACCACAGGTGTGGCAGTGCCTTGGGAGAGCTTGGTACTCCCTCTGCTGGCTTAGGGAATGCTCCACCGTAAAAACCTCCCTTTGCCTTCTTCCTCCTCTCTCTTTTCTGTCTCTCCGCTGCCTTCTCCTCTCTCCCTGTCCCCCAGGCGCGGTTGGAGTACCTGCGCGACCAGTTCCAGATCCGAGAGAACGACTTCCTGACGTTTGACGCCATGCGGCACGCGGCGCAGTGCGTGGGCAGGGCCATCCGGGGCAAGACGGACTACGGGCTCATGATCTTCGCGGACAAGGTGAGGGCGGCGCTTCTGGGTGACGCGGGGCCAGCCGGGCGGCCGTAGGGGCTGTAGCTGACCATATCCAGCTCCGGCCAAACCCATTAGCCATGTGCAGGGTCTCACCGCGCGGCAGGTCGCGCATACGTAGGAACGTAGAGGTTGCAGAGTGATGAAGTCGGAAAAACCCCCCAGAGATTCAGTTCTGGTAACCCGTCGCTGGGAGGCCTGGGAACGTAGCAGTGGCTCTCCAGCTCTTTCCTTATCCCCTCCCCTCCCCCGGCAGCGCTACGCTCGCGCGGACAAGCGGGGGAAGCTCCCGCGCTGGATCCAGGAGCACATCCTGGACAGCAGCCTCAACCTGACCATCGACGAGACCGTGCAGCTGTCCAAGCACTTCCTGCGGGACATGGCGCAGCCCTTCCGGAAGGTGAGGCTGCCGGTCCACTGCGGTTCCCGCTGGCCGGACGAGCCGGGCGAGACCCCGTGGAGCCGACGCCGTCAATGTGCTTCACGGTGGTGGTGGTGGTGGTGGGGGCTTTCTCTCCGGTGGGGGTTTCTGCTCTGCTGTCCTGGAAAACTCGCACGTCTCTACTCACTGCCTTTCTCTCTTCACCCTCCTCTTTTTCTCCTTCCCCACCCCGCCATCGCTCTCACCCTCTCTCTCTCCCCCCCCTCTCCCTCGCTCGTCTTCAGGAGGACCAGCTGGGCCTGTCGCTGCTCACGCTGGACCAGCTGCAGTCGGAGGAGATGCTGAAGAAGATCGCTCAGATCGCGCACCAGGTGTGACACCCCACCTTCTCGCTCCTGGGCGGAGGCAGGAGCCCGGGGAGCAGGAGAGAAGAGGCCCCAGCAGGAGTGACAGGAGAGGCTTGTTTTGGCAGGCCTGGACACTGACGGCACAGCCTGTAGATCACAGAATGTGCTTGTGGAAATGGGCAACCATGTTGGACTGGCGGCTTTCATTCCTGCTGCAACCTTTACAGGTGCTTTCAGACGCTGAGCAGCGTCTGGCCAGGGCGACGGTGTTTCTCCTGCTTGGCCCTGGGTCAGAGCAACAGTGTCTCCAAAGCAGCAGGGATCTGTGTGCCATTTTGATGACCTTTTTCACAAAGACTTCCCGGGTCACCTGACAGTACTTAAAAACTTAAAAAACAGAACTTTAACCTCTATGGGAGACGCCATGGAGATGTTCCCTCACGCTTCGTTTTCAGCATTCCCGATTTCTCTAAACAGTCTTCCAGAGAGCTGGAGCCGGGCGTCGGCAGGAGAGGTGTGAGGGTGCGTTCTGCAGGACCGAACCTAAATTTGTGTGGACGGGCTGGCGAAGACGGGGGTCGCAGGAACCCCCTCACTGCAGGAGAAGTTTTTTTTTACTGTGATTTTCTTCTACCCTTAGGCTGGTGTAATCGCCTGGCCCACCTTGTATCATTGTACGGACGTGGGCCATAATGTCAAATATCAGAAAAGCACAATAAAAGCACCTTTGCTGCCTGTCACTGGTGCAGGAGCACTAGGCTGCTGATCTTTCAGCTTGGATAAATAGCTCAGGTTAGGTTAAGGCTTAGGGTGTCTCTACAGGTCATCTTTGTATTGTAATTTTATTTTTACGTTCAGTACATTTAAAACAATAAAACAGGGCTGTGCTCATGCCTTTGGGTAAAATTGGTCCTTCAGAAGACTATCCTTTTAGTTCTTCCCAGAGCCAGTTTCTCCAGTCTCCAGTTTCTGCCTGGTATGATGTCTCCTTTACCATTCTGTAATACTTTTGCAAGTATAGGTGGTAGAGGCCTAGTTCAGGGCTTAAAGTGAAGCCTCTCAACGCTTAATGCCCTTGCATTTCATGGGTAAATCGCAAATTAAAAGCAGAAAATACGAAGGGTCATTAATCCCAGTGTTTATAACGTTTTGTGTTTTAGGCGGGCAGGAGTTTGGGCAATGGTAGCAAAAAAAAAAAGAAATGCGGCCGTGGTGGTTGGCTTTTTATTAAAAAATGATAGGCGAGCTCTGCGCACAGTTGTGTTCAATTGGCGCTTCGCTTTCAACAGCCTTTCCTCTACCGGTTCCGGTCCGGCGGGCTCGGTTCGCACGATCCCGGAGCTGCTCAGTAGAACAGGGGGTGAGTCGCTGTCTTGAGAGAAGCAGTTTCACAGTATTACTTGGTGTGGCGTCTGTAAAGACCGGGCTGAAGCGAGTTCAACCGCGGGCGGACTTCTCTCCGTACGGTCCCGGTGCTTCATCAACGTGTCTCACCGGCGATAACGAATCCCGTCCGTACGACAAAATACAACGGAATCTCGTCGAAATAGCATTTGGTAATCGTTCCTAATTGGAGTCGGTGTAAAGAAAGTGCTGCCTCATGGTTTGGGTTTATCATGGTTAACGATGGCGGGACATTTATGCAGGGCAATGTTGCTGAATGGAAATGAATAAGACGAATTAAAAAAAACTTCCAAATGCAATATTGTTACAGCAGGGCCACTGCTCCCTCTAGCGTAGCAGCAACAGCGACAACACGGCTTCCGCACTTTCCTCAGACTTACACTTGGTCATTACAATACAGGAAAAAGAAAAGACTGCCCTTACATAATGACAACGGAAAACATTCATTCAGACATATTTGTGATGTATGGATCGACTTCGCTAAATTTGTAATTGCTTGGTACTAAGCGGTATTAAAGAGTTTAAAACGTCAACCTTGTTTATTTTTTCTGATGTTCTGACGCTTACGGTTACAAAATAAGGCTTAATTTCACACAAATGTAAAGAAAACACTAAAACGTTATTTTCTTAAGGGAAAACCGTTCCCCCCCCAAAGAGGAACCAATAGCGTCACAGCACTTACCGCGTATTTCTTCATACTTTTACTT